TCTGTGTGTGTTTACACCTGCCTGTCGGTCTCTGCAGTCCTGTCTGTGTGTCTGTGTGTGTATTTACACCTGCCTGTCCAACTCTGCAGTCCTGTCTGTGTGTCTGTGTGTGTGTTTACACCTGCCTCTGTTTCCCTTAGTGTCGTAGCCTTTACTTCTCTTTTTCTTTTACTTTAACAAGAGGAAGAAACCCACTTCTTTTTTCCTCACTGGTGTCTATCCTCTGGGAGAACCTGTCCCCGTCCCGTACTGCCTTCCAGCTCCTCCCCCAAAGTGCTCAGTGCTGCTGCCCTGCTTTGCTGGAACCTGGCAGAGTGAGGCCAACTTTTCCAACTCTCTGCATTCACCTCCATTTCCATGACTCAGCTACTAGTATTAACACTCAGATCACGCTCACTCTATGTAGAGATGATGCCTTTCCAAGGCATAAATTATTGTTCTGATCAGCATGGATTGGAGTGACCAGGATGGCCAGTCTGCAGGACGTGTTGCTCATTGATTTAACCATCGTTAAGTACCAGCAGCTCTGAGAGCCAAACCCAGTCACCACAGCTGGAAGTCCATGCTTATTGTTTTGCCATAGATTACTCAGTTATTGACAACTATAAAAGTGCTTAAACATTACATTTTGAAACAAGTTGCTTTAAATGGCTTTTATAACAGCAAATAAAATTGTTCTACAGGCAAGACCACTAGTCTGGAACTGCTCTACAAAACATGCTGGCCCTTTAGATTTTGACTCAGCGTTGCTTACTTCCTCCAGCTGATGTGTGGGATGCCTTTTAAGGACTGAGCATGAGAGTGAATTATGAAATTTTAAAAAATGCTAAAATTCCCACTATGTGTTGGACAACATGCTGAGGGCTTTGAGACATCTGAAAAGCTCGTACTCGGATTCTCCTTGCAAAAGTATATATTGTAGTTAGAAAGAGACAAAATTACAGGTGGAAAACTGCAGATATTTGGAGTGGCAGCTGAATACATTTGGGACCAACGTTACGTGCATTTGATTCTTAAGCTCCCATCATACTCTTCAAGGCTATCAAATGGGGCCGCCCACTGACCTCTAAAGCACAGATGGGGCTAGTCCACCACAGACACTCCCGCCCTTCCCACAGCCCTGAGCAGACCCTGCCATGCCTCTTTCTGCCATCTGACACTCTCTTGTCCCTAAAAGCCACCTCCATAGGCTGGTCCCCTCTCCTGTGCTGCCTGTGTGCATGTGTGTTCCTGTGTGTCCCCTCTCTATGCCCAGCAGTCCTTGAGGGGAGGACTGCGTCCTGCTGTCTCCTGCTCTTCACCCCTCAAATCGGTCTGGACTAGGGAGGTCTCCAGGTTCTTTGATGTACATTGAAATCAGCTGGGCTGAGTTGAAACCGCAAGTCCTCCTGGGGAACAGTTCCCCTCCTGGGGAACTTACAGCCTTAAGGTCACATGTGGCTTCTAGATCCTTAAGTGTTACCTTTTGACTGAGTCCAAATTTTCTATAAAATAATTGTTCAGGCTTTGGCCTGACTCATGTTGCAAGAGGGCGACTGTGGCCACACTCTGTCCCTGGTTCCTATAACCCTGTAGGGCCCCAGGGGCCCACGACCACCTCTGGCAGGCATGCTGCCCCCAGCTCTACACAGGCCTGTCCACTCCAGTGCTGTCCCTGCAGTGAACTACCCCCCCACCCCCACACACACCCCACACACACACACAGGCCTGTCGCTCTTATTCAGGCTGGTCTGGAACTCCTAAGCTCATAGGATGCACCAGCCTCAGCTTCCCAGAGTGCTGGGATTATAGGTGTAAGACACCATGTCTCGCCTATACACTTAATTTTTAAAAATACATTTAGATTTACAGAAAACTCAAGCAGATAGTGCTAAGAGTTCCCCTGTACTACCCCTAACCGCACCCAAACTCCTTTCCTATTTAATGGTGTCTTACACGGGTTCGGGACACGTGTTGCGAGCAATAAGGTGAGCTTGAGATGCTCCTGTTAACTCGGTCACAGTTTGTGCAGCTCTCCCTACCTGTGACCATGATGTCCCCCTCCTCCAGGCTCTCATGTCAGACTCAGCATTACACAGTTGATCAACTCATCAATTCACACTAAAGCTGTATGTTACCAATGAGCCTGAATGAAGTCTCTACTACAGGCTTGAAACAAAGCCCTTGGCCCAGGACCATGAGTGACACAGTAAAGTTTTACTGGGTGCCCCTGTGTGCCAGGCAGGTGCCAGTGCAGTTGCCCATCCTGACCAGTGCAGGGCGGCATGTTTAATGCCAGGGTAGAAGGGCACAGAGGCCACCGAGGAAGCCACCTTACCCCCTGCTGGGGACCTGCAACTCAGAGGAGGAGTCAGCGGGTGAGGCAGAGAATTAAAAGAATGTTCCAGGGAGAGAGGGCAAATTAGAGCCACCAAAACATTTATAGTGTAATGTGTATAGGAAACTACTATAGGCTAAATGTTGATGCAGTTAGAAGTGGGGGCAAGATTTGGTTAAAAAATGAAATTAGGGAGCTAGGCGAGAGCAAGGAAGGAAGTGTGTGCTGCAGGGAGGGGCCTCAAGCCTGGTTGGGGCGGGCAGAGCTGCTGTCCACAGTGACCACCATGGGATGACGTGAGGACAGGCCTGGAGGCAGCATGGCCTGCAGGTCAAAGAGGAAGCAGACCTCATCCGAACAGAAAGTATTCAGGACATGTTTCAGAACCTGCGGGGTCTGAACAAAGGGATCCCAGACAGCCATGGGGTTTCTGGCACGTCCTCCTGCTAATGGGGCCAGTGGTGCCCAAGGAAGTTCAGTTTAGGAGGAAAGGGACAGTTTCAGTTTGGAGCACAGTAAGCTGGAGAAATCCATGGCCATGCAGAAATATCCACAGGAAGTCAAATAAATGAGTTGTTGAGTCAGGAGATTAGATATGTTAATTTAGGGTTAAGTAAGATGATAGGAGCATGTGGAAAGGTTATACAGAGCAAGGCAGAATCTGAGGACCACTCACATACGACCCCACGAAGGGGACAGATGGGCACATGGGGCAGAAAGTGGGAGAGGCCGTCTCACAGGCCCACAGTGAGTGTCAGTGGCAGACACAAGACTCCTGTGATCTAGCGTGTTCTGCAGTCCCTGGAACATGAACTCTGGGGCATACTTTATCTTCTAAAGAGAAATATGTCATGTCAAGAAGAAATTTGGAACATGCATAAATTTGTAGGGTATAAAAATACAGTGAGATAGATAGAATGAATGACATTTGATAGCAAGTGTCATATACAGCAAAGTGACATAACCAACAATAAGTCAGGATATACTTTAAAACAGCCAAAAGAGTGGAATTGGAATGTTTCTAACACAAAGAAATGTTTAATGCCTAAGGTGACAGGTACCCCACTTTGATTAATTTATATCATATGCCTGTACCAAAACACCACATATACCCTATAACGATATACAACTATTATGTACCCATAATAATTAAAAATAAAATTTGTTTTTAATTAAAAATTTTAAACACTATTATCTTAGATAACATAGTAATAAGAAAATTATGGTGTGCACAGTTAATGCAGGAAACACCAGATAAGCAAATGTATACAAAAATTCATAACAGACCAATCCTGCACAACAGGACAGTCTGCCTAAGGAAGAAATACAGATTATTATCTTTTATTTAATCAGTAAAGAATAATATTAGTAGAAA